CTTGGCATGCCCTGCTCAAGAAGACTATGATCTGTTTCACACACTCCTCTTTTCCAGAATCCCCAAATTCCTTCCCTGTCATCAGGTTCTGAGCAATTTAAATTTCACTGCTTTTCAGAAGGATTTCCTCAGAAGCTGCTATGTGAGCCAAAGGTCCCAACAACTTCTATGTCAATGCCTTTCAAATACAACTAGAGATTTGTTACCTACTTAGAAATAGCTTTTATAAGAGTGTTTCTTCAGAAGCATGGGACTTCTTAGGGACTGTCATCTGGTTTTAGCCATCCTGCCCACAGGGCATCAATTCCAAAAGTAAGGAGTAACTCTGGAGAGGCCTAGGAAGGTCTGACTTTGCCATAAAGTAATTTTTTTTAATATATTTTGTTATTTACCAAAAGATCTGTATGCAATATCCCAAAGCCAGATGACTACTTCATCTCATTTCTTAACTGCATTTTATGAGATTCCTAGGCAGTCTGTCATCTTCTTTTCCCCTGTTTAGAATCTTCCTATATTTGTTGTATTATGTCCAGGGATTTCAGTTAAGAGGGAGTACTAGGGGATACTCTTACTCCATCTTGGCCAGAACGAGAAGTCCTCTACTCATACATTTTTAAAGCGATGGACATCATTTTAACATATATAAATACATAAATGTCAAAGCTTTCGTTTAAACATATAAACTACCTCTTTTTCTTTTCTTCAAAATTACAAATAACATTGTAAAGAACATGTGAATATTTACTTCACAGAGGTGGAAATGTTAGGTCAAAGGGATACCCATTTTAAATTTTGATAAATTTATAAATTCACATCAAACTTATTAATACCAACAATGAATGAGTGTGTATATTTGTGCATATTTTCACTAATCATTTCACTAACTGCACATTAGTGTTTTAATCTTTGACAATCCAACAAGCAGAAAATACTATTTAAATTCTCACTGACTCATATTTCTTTGGATATTATTAAGTTTGAGAAGAATTTATGTTTAAGTAGTAACTTGTGTATCGTTTTATATCATTAAATATTTTAGTGAGTTGATATATATGCATAAGCTTATCATTTGCTTTTCAAACATATTTAAGATGTCTTATTTTCTTAATGAAAGATTATGATGATGATGATGATGGTTATTTGTGAGATATTTCTACATTTTTCCTATCATACTCAGATAGGACTTCTCCAAAATAATAAAATCTCCTTGTGGTAAGCAGGATAATCCCCCACCACTCCCAAAGATGTCCACATTCTAATCACTAGAACTGAATATATTATTTTTTTTTAAGATTTTATTTATTTATTTATTTATTTGAGAGAGAGAGACACAGTGAGAGAAGGAACACAAGCAGGCGGGAGTGGGAGAGGGAGAAGCAGGCCTCCCACAGAGCAGGGAGCCCAATGCGGGGCTCGATCCCAGGACCCCGGGATCATGACCTGAGCCGAAGGCAGACACCTAACGACTGAGCCACCCAGGCGCCCTGAATTGAATATATTATCTTACAGAGCAAAAAGGAATTACAGTTGCAGATAGAATAAAGGTAGCGAATAGTTTACCTTAATAGGTAGATTATCCGGGTGATCACAATGGAGTCACCATCCTTAAAAGTGGGAAAGGGCAGCAGAAGAAAAGGTCAGAGTGATATGATGAGATGTGAGAAGGGCACCACCCTCCATTGCCAGCTTTGAAGATGGGGGAAGGGGCCACAAGCCAAGGAATGGAGATGGACTTTAGAAGCAGGAAAAGGCAAGAAAACAGATTTTCCCTGAGAGCCTCCAGAAAGGAGTGCAGCCCTGAGAACACCCTGATCTTAGCCCAGTGACACTCTTGTCAGACTTCTGACCTCCAGAGCTGTAAAATAATAAATCTGTGCTGTTTCAAGTCACTAAGTTTATGGTAATTTGTTACACAACAGTAGAAAACTAATACAGATAGTAAAATGACACACAGATATTACCAAAAAATGTGGAAGTGGGACAGAGTCTGGGAAGCACTGTGTGCCGAGAGGATACTAAGAGACACGCGTATGTCCGGAGTTGCAACTGCCAGTCACAAGTAGGGTTACCTAGGAGGTAGACAAAATGAGAAATGTCATTCATTGCTGAAACCTTCTCTTAACCTAACCACGTATGGCAAACTGAGGTTAACCAGACTGAGGCACCTTTCTCTCTCTGGCCCTGGTAGGCCCACATTAGGAGACCACCATAGCAATTCCAAAGTCCCTGTGTTAAATTCAAAATTGCACCTCACTACCAATCAATATAATTTTAAACACGTGACAGGAATGTTCCTCCAACAGTGAAAAGCACATGGGAGTGGTTATTCATTGAAATCCCGGAAATAAGGCACTATAAAAAAGGATTGGTAATATGCTAATGGGCTCTAGGGAAACCCCAGTAAATTGAAATTATATGAATCATGTTGAAATTACAGGGAGAAAGAAGACACCTGTTCTCTATTCTGTGACTAGTGATGAGGGCTGAGAAGCCCCACCACTTTCCTCTTTATGAAGGTTGACTTACTAAAGGTAAAAAGCTGGGTAGACCCACCATTCCAAGTATTTATAGTGGCAACCATCATTTTGCCTGCACAGTGGCTACCTGGTCTAAAGCTATGTTTTTGTGTATAGCAGCCATGTACACTACTACAAAAGTAATAGGGAGCTAAGAAGGAAGCAACACTGATATACACTGATTACCATAAAATAACAGAAAACAAGTTTAAACCAATTTACTAATATTGTTGTTCTTTGGGGGGAAAACTACTGCTGTGTATATATAGAGGTATACACACAAATATATACACGTGGATTACATATATCTGACAGATGATATTTTCTGAAGATATCTTCCATTCCACATTCTCTTATGCCAGGTGACATTGCCATTCTGCCATCAAGAGATGGAGTCTAATTCCCCTCCCCTTGAACCTGGGCTCAGCTGGCCTTAGTGGTTTGCATGTAACTAACAGAATGCAACAATAATGAACCTGGGTTACTTCCAAGTCTAGATAGATAAGAAGAAGAAAGAAGTAATAGTAGTGGCAGTAGTAGAAGTAGTTTCTACCTGGTTGACTTGGAACTCAGTCTCCAGATATTCTCTTTCAGAACACTCCCTTAGGAGAATGTTCTATGCTATGAGAAGCACGGAGGGGCCCCCCGGAGGGGCCATGAGTAGATACCATGACAGTCATTCTAGGCTAAAAGCTAAGTATGTGCATAACGAAGCCTCAAGATAATCCTAGTCCCAGGGCATTCATAATTCCTGCCCAATGAGTAGGAAATATGAGAATATGAGTAGGAATATAAGATATGACTGAGGACTAAAGCAAAGTAGTAGAAAAAATTATTAGGTGATAGAATAGAGACATTTAAGAGACAAACTAAGTTCTTAGTGAATTCTGGTAGTGGGGGCTGAGGAAGAGGAATATATATAGAGGTGAATATCATATATATTATATTGTAGAATGAAGAACAAAGCTTGAAAAATAACTCAAGTGTGGTTTTGGACATGTAGAATTAGAAGTATGTAGGAGGGAGTACTGAAAAATACAGATTAATGGACAGACCAAAAAAAAAAATCATGAAGGAAAATGAGAAAGGACTAACAAAAAAGGAGGAGGAGGAAGAGGAAGGGGGGGGGTGGAGAAGCAAGCAAGCACAATGGGTTTACAACAGACAACATGGTTTCCAAAAAGCAGGAAGTCAGCTTTGGTAGCATATACTATAGAACAGTCAGGGTGGATAAAGACGAAAAAATATTAGATTTAGAAAGTAGTGGGTCACTGATGCTATCAGCAAGGGAAACTGAAGGAACAGATAGAGAATCTGAAGCATCAAATTATTTTTTCAAGAGCATTATCTGCGGAGAAAATTAAGTGTATCCGTGTTACTTTAAAACCTTCTTCTGAATGCTATTCTATAAAGATTAGTAATATTTATCAGAAGATATAATCCACCTTGAAGATGTTATAGTAATTATGGGATATATATAACAACATGCTGTTTTTACATAACATTGCTACAAGGAAAGAGGATGCATTACTTGAGTTCATTCCAGTAATTTTGCTGGGTTTAAGAGCACTGAATCCAATATTTTCTGTCTAACTCCAACTGGGCCAACAGGGCAATTAGTATATATCACAGGCCACCAGAGATAAATTTTATAATCCCTCCCAAACACAGACCACTTTGTGTTTACAATTAAGTGGCCTTTGTCTGTGGCCTCGTTAGTATAATTGGACTTCACTCAGATTGGAAGGCCTACCTCCCAGTCCAAAGCTTTATCCAAATTATTGTGTTTATGGACCAGACTGAGGATTGCAAAAGCAAACAACCTGTACAAGGTCACTAAGCAAATCAAAGGAGTTGTCTGGATTCCAACTGAGGTCTAACTGGTTCCAAGACCTAATCCTTCCATTGTTACACCAAAGTCAGCTTGTACTCCCTTGAGCAATGGAACAAAGTCCTCACTCTCACGGCAATCAGTGTAGAAGGGAACACACGTAGAGAACACAAACGAGTATCCTGTGAGCAGTAATATACTAAGGTACGTAAAAAGAGCTCTAAGTAAACAGAGTAACACGGCGGTAACTACTTTGGAGTCCCTACCATTTGGCAGACATTGTGCTGAACTCTTTATATATCCTTAAGTCAACTATGTGAAATAGGAATTAAGTCCATTTTACAAACTAAGAAACTGACGCACCGAGATTCCGAAAATCGCACAATTAAGGAACTACATTTCGTCCCAGGGACCGCAGTACGCAGGCTCTGTAACTATCCACATTTGGGTTAGAATCTGGCTCTGACGTAGGATCATTTTGTTACCTCCCGCAAGGGTCACCCTCGACGAGGACTGCCTGAAGACTCCCAATCCCCCGGCCATCCCTTGAGCGCCAGGGTCCCTGCCTTCAGCCCCGCGAATCACAGATTCTCCGCATCACGATCCCGCCCCTTCCAGAACCACACTTCTTCCTCAGGTCTCTCTGCTCTCACCTCTCCATCATCAACAAGGGGACAAGCATCGGCGCGTGTACAAACACGACTGAAGTCTCCAACTCGCTTGGTCGCCCCAACAGAGCTAGCGTGGCCTCCCGAATCTCAGCAGCTCAAGCTCCCTGGCGACGAGGACGTCATACACTCCTCGCTTTTTCGCAGTCCCGGCGTTCGCGGTCCTCTCCTGATAGACTTCCGCCAGGCGGAAGCAATCGGCCCCTCGCAACATACTGGCGCCTCCGCCCGGAAACTCAAGCGTCAACGCTTTGGTTCCGGCGCGTCGGCCAGTAATTGTGATTTAGAGACTTGAATTGGGTTCGCCGTCATCTGATATGGAAACCCCCATGTTCTGGACTAACGTCTTTTTAGAACACTCCCTTGCACATAGATACTCGATAAAATCATCTAAGAAAAAAAATTATTTTGAAGCCAGTACTCTAGGCTCTGTGGCTATTTGTGGGATGGGGAGCTTGCCAGCTTAATAACATATATATATATATATCTATACATATATATATATATTTTTTAAGTGCTATGAATGGTTAGGTCGAATGGTAATCAGTGTAATATCTTGTTATCATTGGACCTTTAATAGCAGTGCTTTTGCTGCCAGATGGCCTGTAATCATTTATGAATCTATTTTCTACTCATTCAGTAACCCTCCAGCACACCTTTTTGTGGATCATTGAAAGGCTAAAGGAACACAGAGATGAAAACAGATTAAAGCTGGCAGTTAAACGGGCATACAAATCAATGTGTGCATTTGGCAGTTTAGGGCACAGCACCCACATGTACCATTTGCCAGGAGGAGTCAGAGAAAGCCTCACCTATCAAGTACTATTTGAGATGACATGATAGTATAGAGTGAAGGTGACATGGAGTAACATTTCCCATGCTATCCCTGAAACCTTTCCATCTGTACTTGCCTCTCTTGCCACTGAAACGTCCCTGGTTTAATCCCCTATTATTTTTCCACCTACTAAAGTGTTCCTAAGCAGTCTCCAATGCTTTTAGGCTGCTCCAATAACACTAATGTCCGCATGAGTGGACTACAGGGTCAAATATGGGGTAGGGGAGAGGAAATAAGCTACTGTGATTTTCAAGTCCATCTTTGACATTGCTGGAAGTTACCGAAAAGATATAAAAGAGAGTGGGGATTCTCCTGCCCTTGCCTACAGCATTCATCCTGATTTTCTTAGCATGAAATCTCAAGCCTTTTGTACTATAACTTTGAGGTCAAAGGCTGCCTTCCTGCCTGTATACCCTAGTATTCACTCCATACTCCATCTAGAGGGAGACACCATTCTCTGAGTATTCTGTTAACTTTCACAAGTACAAAATGCACCTCCAGGGAAACCAGGTTTATGAAGCCTCCAGACTCTGCAGGCAGTGTTGAATTAATCCCTCTTCAGAACCTATGACTCATATATATCACAAAGCACCTATCACAGTCTATTATCTTTAATGGAGAGAGTCAGTACCTTCACTATACAGTTGACCTTTGAACAACACAGACGCTAGGAGTACTGACCCCATGTAGTCAAAAATCTGCATGTAACTTTTGACTGTCCCCCCAAAAAAAACCCTTAATAGCTTACTGTTAACTGGAAGCCTTACCAATGACATAAAGTCAATTAACACATATTTTGTATGTTATATGTTATATACTGTATTTTACAATAAAAAATGTTAAGAAAATCATAAAAATCAGCACGTAAATGGACCCATACAGTTCAAACCCATGGTGTTCAAGGATCAATGTATATAAGGATATAAGCAACATGAAGAGAAGAGTCTTACTGTTTGAATCTCCAACATCCATACAAGTTCCTAGTGTATGGCAAGTGTTTAATAAATGTTCATTGAATTAATGATGATGTAGATTATTTTAATAAAAGTCTTCTATGCTGGTGCCTTGATCAAGTTGGTACTGTTAAGGAGTTCTGGGGCATACTTTGTTCAAAGGCAGTTTCTTCCCTGGTTTGGAAAAAAAAAGCAGCTAGAGTGGGCCAAAGCTGATTAAAGCTTCTGGCTCTGTACTTCCCACTAGAGGAGCCTGAACTACACCAAGTGGAGCCTGTTCAACATTCTTCATTCAATAAACATTTTTTAGCATGTATTCACCTAGCACTGTTTCTTGTTCTCCCAATGCCTCAGGAAAACTCTGATTCACCCAAAAGAGACTTTCCAGGTCAAGGAAAATGCATTTGCAAGGACATCATCCCTTCACAGCATAGGAGGAAACATGCCCCCTGGTGATATGATATAGACTGGCAACTTATGGTGAGGGCAGGCCTCAAGAGCTACCTTCCAGGGCCACTGTCCCAGATGGAACCTTCCCACTCAGGCTCCCACCATGTGGGGATCAGCTGGCACACTTGGCTGTGTGTATGTGTATGTGTGTGTCAGTATGTTTGTGGAGAGGCAGGTTCAATGGACCAGCAGGAAGAACTGATTATTACTGCCTAGAGGCAGGTGATGCTCAGGAGCCCTGGTTTCTTATGGTTAATCCACGTTGGCAAGGAAAAGGGAGGTGAGAAAAAATAGGAGAAAGCTGAGCCCGAAGCATGAAGGCAGAGGAAATAGATGAAGAAAGAGAGTAGAGCCCAGCTGGTTGGCAGCTCCTCAAAGCACCAGATGTGGAAGATTTTCTCATCTGTGGTTTGTTGTGTCCTTGTTGTGGAGTACAGGGTTTACATGGTTCTGCTGGGCTAAAGGCATCAGTCAGTCTTTGGGGAGGCAGCTCTGCACAAAGGGGATGCAGTAGCTGAGGTTGCCAAGGCAATTCACGCAGCCTGGAATTTCCTGGCCCCACAGTATCTAAAGGGAGAATGCAGAGACAGAACAAGTCAGGATTCATGATTATATGACCCCCTGTAGAGAGTGCAGCCCTACACTAGAGCTGGCCTTCACCTGGGGGGGGCGGGGGGCAAATTCAGTCTTGTGTGGTCTTCGCACGCCCTCTGGTGGTGTTAGGCAGTGACCCTAAGGCTTTCTGTTGGGAGCATCACAGACCGGTTATGCCTCTCAACCTTTTTGTCCTCAAAGTCTAGTCTCCACTCTCACAGTCTAGAGGAAATAAAAAATCCCACTGCAGAAATCTCTTGTCTACGTTCCCCCACCATTATTTGAGACATCCAGTAGGTTAAACACTATTTAAGGATGAAAAGGCTGAAAACAAACAGGAAAAAGTTTTTAATGAATTATCTGAAGCAAAGACAGGATGGAATGTCTATCATCGGTAAGCAAATTATTTTTCATCTACTAGTCAATGATAATAACGGCCACTCCTTTATCACCTATCTTCTTTGCCTCGTTTGCTACTGAGTGCCTGGCATACCTAGTCACCTTGGTTAACTGACACAGACAACTACAAAACTCCCAATTCACAAGTGAGTTAACTGAGACTGAAGTGGGTTATGTAATCTGTGTATGATTACACGGCTTATAATCTGACAAACTGACAAGATTCCAATTCAGGTTTATCAATTTGTGTGTTTTCCCACTGAACTTTGCTGTTTGCAGAAGAGACATATAAGATCATGCAGATAGAGCTTTCCACACACGATTAATTGCTATTAATAGATGGCTGGGCAATGTCATTAAAATACTATTTTAGATATGACATTTTTTAAAGATTTTATTTATTTATTTGAGAGAGAGAGAACAGGAGGGAGAGGGAGAGAGAATCCAAAGCAGACTCCAAGCCAACCTCAAGAGCCTGACACCGGGCTGGATCCCACAACTACGAGATCACGACCCAAGCTGAAACCAAGAGTCAGATGCTCAACCGAATGAGCCACCCAGGTGCCCCTAGATGTGATATTTTGATAAGAATTTTGTTGTCACTAATAATTCTTACCTAATTATTTGATAATAATAGCTAACATCTACTGAGTACTTTCTCTATGCCATTGTTCTAAACTTTACATAATTAACTCACATTAACTCTACTACATCACTACTGTTACTCCCATTTTCCACATGAGGAAACTGAGCCAAATAGTTAAATAATTTTCCCAAGATAATAAGTGTATATTTAATTTGTAGAGTGTAATGTTCCTCACTATGGTTCCTCATTGTGACGGAAAAGAGCTTATTTGCAGAGGATTGGGGGGTGGGTGTGCAGGTTTGCAGGAGCTGGGGAAAAGCTAACTTACTGTGCATATGAAAGTAATGAGTGTGGGGGACAGAGAGAAGGAAAGGAGTTAAGAGCAAGAGAAGATCCAGAAACAGAAAAACAGGATCCATCAAGGCTGGGCCCTACATAAGGAAATGGCCAAGTGAGTAAAGGATGGGGTGCCCATGATGGATTTGGTGGGAAAGAGAAATTTAATAAGGGGATTTCTCTCTTCTCTATGAAATCTTTAGTAAATTTTACAAAGATTACTAATACTTTGTATCAGAAAACTGAGTTTTCCCTCTGATAGGGAACTCAAGGACAATGACAGAACATAACCATCAACTGAATTGTAAATTGAAATGCTCAAATGGATTCCCAAAGGCACAAGACTTCAATGTCTTAAATTGGTATGTTCATTCCTTACCAAGGACTTGGAAAGACCAAGAAAGACATAAGGTCAGTTCATAAAGCACTGTCCTTGCTGTTGTGGAGAGAAGAGCGATCAGGCAGGATTAAAAAGAAACATTCCCTGCCTTAGAGGCTTAGTCTTACCAAATCCTAACAGCACTCCCCTTCAAGTGCCAAATTCATTTATTGTAGTTATTAGTGGATTTCTTACAATATAGTCTGTACAAGATCATGTCATCTACAAAGGTTGTTGGTTTTCCTTCTTCCTTTCCAATCTGGATTATTTCATGTTGTGCCCTCCTAATCATCCGGGCTAAAACCTCCACGTTCAATGTCAAATAGCAGTGGTAAGAGCAGACATTCTTGCTTTTTTTCTGACCTGAGGAAGAAAGCACCCATTCTTTGCCTGTTAAGTTTGATAGCTGTGAGGTGTTTTTTGGTTTTTTGTTTTATAGATGACTTTTGTCAAGTTGAACCATGTTTCTTCCTATTCCTGGTTTGTTGAGTGTTTTCATCTTGAAGACGTGTTGAATTCTGTCAAGTGTTTTTCTGCATCAATATGATTATGTGGTTTTTGTTCTTAATTCTACTGATGTAGTATATTATATAATAATTTTTGAATGTTAAATCAATCTTGCATACCTGAGATAAATCTCACTTGATCATGATGTATAACCCTCTCTATATGTTATTGGATTCAATTTGCTAGTATTTTGTTAAGGATTTTTGCATCTACATTCATAGGAGGTACTGATCTGTAATTTTCTTATGTTTTGCCTGGTTTTT